AAAATATATGAAATGAACAAAATTCTTACAGCTTTAGTGTATATTAATAAATCATTTTTTTTTCTCTACTTTCGATTTTTCGAAATTAGAAAAAATACACAGCTAAAGGCAAGAAAATATTATTTATTATTATACACTAAAGCTGTAAGAATTTTGTTCACTTTATATACAGGGTGTCCCAGAAATGAGTGCAAATATTTTAACTGGTAGTATAGTTCAACCCCAGAAACACGCCTATGAGGTGTTTTTTGCGAAAAAAAAATGTTGAAAATTTTATATTTTTCCGGAAAATTTTGAAAAACTTTTGAGTGCCACTGTTCACTCTCCGGAAATTCGTTTACCGTGCATGGAGAGAATCTCGGAGAGAATGCAATGTTGCCACTTCCTACCATACCCACACTCTAAATGTTTATAAATTCACAGTAATAATTTTAATGGGCTGCAACATAGCAGTAATCATAATCATAATTTTTGTACTAAGCATAAGCACAGTCACAATCAAAATTTTAATATGCGTTTATACAACATAGTCGCATAACTTGGAATGTAAATACAGCTGATAAAGTAACCTAATTTTCTTGTTTTTCTATTTCATAATCATTTTAGAAGTGTATTTTTGTTTAAATTTTATTACTCAGGTTTTTTAAACACGAAAATTATCATAATTATTAAACATAAAAATGAAAAAAAAATAAAAATAATGCCCCTAGCCGATTTTTGTCCTAATCCCAATCAAAAAAGTTAAAATTTACGAACTTCAAGGTTATTAAATTATGCTTATGATTACGACTGCGATGTTATTACTGCGATTGTTATGACTTTTATGATTGTGACTAAAATTGTGATTATGATTACGATTATGTTGTATAAACCCGCCATAAGTTTCTATAGAAATATACGAAAACTAAATTTATTCATATTAGTGGACATTGCTAATACTAACTTTAGGAAAATGCGCAATGTTTTAAGTACTTTTTACAGTTGAGTAGGCTGAAAAAATGAATTATAAGAGCTTCTTTTTTCGCCATATTAGGATTTTTTTTCAATCGTTTCAATCTTTAAATATTAAGTTAGAGTTTACCCTTTTGATGAAAATTGATCAGTATTTTTATCCAACATATACCATTACACATACACCCCAAATATCTAATAATCTGAACATCACAAATCAAAATATTATTTAAAATGTTTCACATAATAATTAAACACTAAACTCACAAATACAACAAAAAGTGTTAAAAAACTTGCCTTAATAACTACTTAAAACCTCTACTGAACTCTCCCACAAAAGAAAATTAATGATTTTACATCAAAAGTGCCAAAACTTTACGCGATACACGCACGATACACGAATACACGTACAACATACGTTGATTTTGGTTTGTTTACATTCTTTAAATGATTTTGGGAACCCCCGAGACATCGTAAATACCGTTAAGAGCAGTAGGGCCCTCTACCGCTCCCGTATAATACGACTTGCCTTGCGCGCCACAGTGCCGATTGTCCGTTCACAAAAAAGCTTAATCCGTTATTCTATAGATGTCGCTGGTTAATTGATTTGAGTTTAATTTTGGTTAATAAATAAGATGATCAGCACAATCGACTATCAGAAATCGTTCTAATAGTATCTAGCTTTTAAAACTCCAGAAAGTTATCCATATAGTTATTTTGGGAACCCCCGAAAAATCGTGAATACCGTTAAGAGCAGTAGGGCCCTCTACCGCTCCCGTATAATACGACTTGCCTAGCACGCCACAATGCCGATTGTCCGTTCACAAAAAAGCTTAATCCGTTATTCTATAGATGTCGCTGGGTTATCGATTTGAGTTTAATTTTGGTTATTGGTTAATAAATAAGATGATCAGCACCATATCAGCACGTTCGACTATCAGAAATCGTTCTAATAGTATCGAGCTTTTAAAACTCCAGAAAGTTATCGGAGATTGTGTTTAAAATGTTTGTTAGTGCATATTTTTGTGTTGGTAATCGGTATCGGTATCGGTAAATCGCGATGGCCTATACAAATCCGAAGAAGGTGGATATGCTTCCAAACTCTACCTAAAGTGTGAATTTTGCATACTTCCTCCTGGAAGGTGTAGGGGCTGCGGAAGCTATGAGGCTTTATTCCGAAGAGTATTCGAATAGACACATCACGAATGCTCGAACCTTTGTGAGTATATTGAAAGTAAAAGAATTTCGGACTTCCATTTTCTTTATTTATTTTGATTAACCTAACATTTCGGTCAGAAGGATCACTTACCGTTATCAAGTGTAAACTCTGTGAGCTGTGAGTATGGTTCAGCATTTGAGGGATTTTGGAAGTTTGGATCCTTAGGTGGCATCAAAGTTCAAGTGTTGTTAAGAATTGTAGTGAAGTTAAGTGTAGTGTTAAGGGCAGTTTTAAGACTGGTAAAATGGAATAAAAAAAGAAAGCTTTGCAATTATATCGATCTTCTATCGGGATATCCTTTTTTAATGTTTGGAAAGTTTTTTTTCTTTTAATTTAACTTGGGAAATGGGGGAAGTATGGCTACTGGCGATCATCCACTTAGTGTTATGGAATTTTGCAAGTAGTTTTTAAGACTTTCTAGTTGCGGCAACAGCGGGCGGCGAACAAGGCGAATTCCGGGAAATTGCCGATTTCCTCCGGCGCCGGCGGCTCTCAAAATGTCGCAATTTATTTTTAAAACTTTCAAAGTTAAATAACTCGGTTATTTTCAATTTATTTTAAAAATGGTAAAGAGAAAATATGTTTCTTTTGACCAGATCTACAACCCCTTAAAATATTTGCACATATTTCTGGGACACCCTGTATATTTGAGCGGGCCGAAAAACACTCTTTACCATCTTTTAACGGGAGATGCACTAATATCTCACCGACACTTTACGACATCGTCTGTTGATATAGAAGGAGTTTTGCTTGCCGTATCGGTGAGAACCAGCCCCTGGACAGCCCACCTGATGAAGGGTAGGCCCAGAAACCGGATGTGGGAGTGGAGTTCCCCCCTTTACGACAAGCAAAACAATTTTCTTTTTACTTTTTATATTTTTTTATTTTTTTTCTCTACTTTCGATTTTTCGAAATTAGGAAAAATACACAGCTAAAGGCAAGAAAATATTATTTATTAATTAAACTATATGCAGTGTAACCCAGTGTTCCCATTACAGCTCCATAAGTAGCCTCATAACGTCCCAGTATACAGGGTGTTTCAAAAAACATGTGCCATATCTCGTGGGGAGATTCCTCACGTAAAAATAAGATTTATTTTTCATATCAACATAGGTCCGATTCTGCATTGTTTCGTAGCTACAGGGTGTTAAAATCTTAATAATCTTTCGATTTGTTACAATTCTCTTCCCAGTACTTCTAGTGGTGATTTGAATTAAATTTTGATGGTAAAAGTTACTATAAGCAGATAAGTGCTACATATTTTAATGCTAAAAAAGCGTCGATAAATTCATCAGGGACGTGTATATGGGTTATCACCGGAATATTAAAAAAAAGCATGTGCGCCACTGACTTTTTTTTATATCAAAATTGTGTAGGCCGTTTAATGCCAATTTAAAGTTATCTTTTGATATTTTGCCGAATTCGGCCTCTTTGATAAGATAATAAATTAATAAAATAAAGATAAAAATAAAATTAATAAGTTATATATTTTACCTCATTTATTAATAAATATTATTACTATTAGTTATTTTTACTATTAGTCCAACCTACATACAGCAATATCAAATAAAAAAATAATAGTATTTAAGCTAATTACAAAAAACTAATTTTTAAAACTTTTAACATCCTGTAACTAAAACTATGCATTTCTATACCCATGTTTATAGGAACTTTTTGTCATCTTTTTTGATGATGAATCAATGAGTACTTTCTTAAAACTTTCGCAAGTTAATGATATTATTTTTTTTTGAAGGTTGCTATTTGATTTGGATCAAGGCAAATTAATAAAATTGCGTTTAACTCATCAAGAAGGCCGAAATCGACAAAATATCAAGAGTACAACGTTTAATCGGCATTACACTGTTTACACTATTTCGCTAACAAGAAAAAAAAGTCAGTGGCGTACATGTTTTTTTTTTAAATATTCCAGTGATAACCATGATTCCGTGATATGCACGACCCTGGTGAATATGTTGACATTTTTTTTGAATTAAAATATATCACATTTATAGTAACTTTCACCCTAAAAATTTTAATACTAAAATTTCATAGGAAACGCTAAAAGTACTTGGAAGAAAATTATAATAAATCGAAAAAATATTAAGGCTTTAATCGAATATAGCAAAATCGGACCTATGTTGATATGAAAAATAAATATTATTTTTACAAGAGGAATCTCCCCACGAGAGATGACATATGTTTTTTGAAACACACTATATATTTTTTACCCAAAAAAAACAGATGAGTGAATTAAGCCAAAACTAAGGCCTAAAATTTCTGGTTTCTTAAAAAAATGGTGTAAAAAATTGATTTGGAGCTTTTTTGGAATAGTGAGTCTCTGTATAAAATTGCAATTAAAATGAAATAATAGCACAGATAACACATAATCAATATTACAACTTATTTTATATTTATAAATTACATAATTTTTAATTTTAAATTTTCATAATAATGAGAAATTATTGCGATATAACGTTTGGCAACCACGCAACCGATGTGCAAGCGACATCTGTGCAAGAGAAGCAAGACCTCTCAAAAAAATTAGAAAAGAAATCTAAAAATTTCAGATTATCCAAACGTCACTCCTATATTTATCCAACCAGGAGTGAAATAGAGTCGACAATTTTTAACATGTAAGGATTATGTGTTATCTGTGATAATAGTGAAAAATTAGAGAGTTTGTTTTAGAAAAAAAAAACTCTGTATTATCTGTCTAGACAGAGAATATGGTGTCTGTTACATCAGTCATACGAGTATATTCTTTTGCTGGACAAATTATAGAGTATTTATCAGATATGTAATATAACGTATATGACAAAATTCAACTTACGTCAGAGGTAAAAGACACAGTCTGGCATAGGCTTCCGGCAAAGGTCCAAATCCCAAACTGTCATCTCTGGGTGCCAGGTCGTCTGCGGCCAGGACAGCAACTACAAGCTCTTTTCTTTCGTCATGGTACCAAACTTGTATTTGGATTCTGCCCGAGACTGTTCGCTCTTTGGCGAGTTGTTCCTAAAAAGAACGAGAAACAAATTACAATTGATTAATTTTTTTACCTGAAATTATAACATTATTGTTTTTTACTAGTACGTTGTTGTCTACCCTATTGCAACCAGAATTTTCCACATTTGTAGTGTAAACGTATGCCTTTTTAATTTTTTTACACAAACAAATAAAAAATGAACAGGAAATATATTATACAGGGTGGTCCGAACTGTATTCCGGATACTTCAGCAGCATATTCTGCAGATAAAAATAAGTAAAAAAGTTCGTATAAATGTATGTCCTAAAATGCTTATGCCCACTTGCACCGTTTGTATAAACTTTGTTTAAAGGCTAAACAGTGATTAACTATAACGGGTGCGTCTCAAAAGTGGCTCACCCCTATAACTATTTTATTTTTTCAGATAAAACAACGAGATTTGGTATGTTAGTATATGACATAAATTGGGATTGATTGACGTATTCAATTGTTTTCGGTCACTTCCGGTTTCACCGGAAATGACTACAACTTTTGATTTTTAAATGGCACCCTCGGTATTTTTTTACTTTATTCGATAGAAAATGGCATTCTGAATCGAATGACATATCATATGTCAATTTTTGACATAGTTACTCAAAAACAAATTCTATTTTAAATTTCAATCTAGAGTGCCATGGCTGTGTTAAAAACACTAATTTTTAATCAAGGAGTCTTGGAAAAATAGATTTGATAGTCTAATGTTTTTAGTGTCTTGTCCTGGCCGGTTAAAAGATGCCCAAATCGTATTTTTAATCATATCTTAATTTTTTCAAATGTAACGAGGGTGGTTCATTAGCATATTTGGAAAAGGCATTTTTTTACGAATAATTTGATACCACACATTTGGTATTTTGAGTCAAATTGTCGTTATGAACCGCATATTATAATTTCAAATAAACATATGATATGTCATTCGATTCAGAGTGTCATTTTCTATCGAATAAAGTAAAAAAAATATCGAGGGTGCCATTTAAAAATCAAAAGTTGTAGTCATTTCCAGTGAAACCGGAAGTGACCGAAAACAATTGAATACGTCAATCAATCCCAATTTATGATCAATATGGATTTCTAAGCAACAAGTCCACAAATGACGCTATGTTTTCCCTCCTTAATAAAGTTTACTCCAGCCTAAACAACCATCATTCTACAGCAACAATTTTCTGTGATTTTTCTAAGGCGTTCGATTGTGTAAATCATAAGATCCTAATTAATAAACTGCAGCACTATGGGTTCAGGGGATGATCTCTCGAATGGTTTAAGTCGTATCTGAGCAACAGAAGTCAACTTGTGAGGGTGGATACCACGTTGTCTTCTAGCAAGCCAATAGAATGTGGAGTACCACAAGGCTCAGTACTAGGCCCTATTTTATTTCTTCTTTTTATTAACGACATTGCTTACATAAACATCAGTGGCAAAATACGTCTTTTTGCGGACGACACTAGCTTCACTTGGAGCAACAAGGACATCACGGCACTTCATAGGATTATATCAAACGACTTAATCACCATTAAATCTTGGTGCGATTCGAACCTCCTGAGTCTCAAAATTTCTAAAACTAAAGCTTTGTCGTATAAAAACTCGTTGCAGCCTTTTGTACTTAACAACACCACCATTGACGTCGTAAAATCTGTAAAATTCTTAGGGCTTGTTGTGGACAATTCTCTGAAATGGGACATACATATCGAAGCTTTGTCGAAAAAATTGAGCTCTGCCTGTTTTGCATTAAGGTCTGTTTCTAAGGAGCTTAACTTGTTTGTGGCTAGAACTGTTTATTATGCACTTTTTGAGTCGCACCTCAGTTATGCCCTTCCATTCTGGGGTACGTGTTGTGCGACTCAATTTGACCGCATTTTCAGGCTCCAGAAGAGAGCTGTTCGATATTCACTGGGACTAAACAGCAGAACTCATTGCCGGGACTTTTTTAAAGAATTAAAAATATTGACTCTTCCTTCCTTATTTATATTTGAATCCGTTTGCCTAATACGTAAACATGTATAAGCTTCTCAAGAAAGGCCATCTCACACTTATCCACTCAGGAACGCGGAGCAAGATCTTTATCTAGCTACCCCACGCTCAGAGTTAGTTAAAAGTTCAATATTATACAACTCGAAAAAAATGCACAATCAACTGCCATTTGAAATCAAATCCATAACATCATTTTTTTCATTTCGCAAAGCATTGAACTCTTATTTACTAGAAAAGGCTTTCTACGCCGTAAATGAATTATATTTTGAAAATCGAATTTGATCTTGTAAACACTGGTCTAATGTTTGCTATTGCTATATTTACTAATGACATCGAAATGAATTTATTTAGAGGTCATTGATATTTTACTATAAACTAGTTAAATATTTTTGAATATTATTTTTATTTTTTTGTTCTTTGATATTGTAAACATTTATAAATGTTTATTTTAACAATAAGACTGACAATATTATTTGTATAATGTTTTGTATTATCTTTTGTTTGTTTGTATGTGTACCTTGTTTTTTTACTTTGTTTGTTAGTTTACCTTTGTCTACAAATTGAAAAATTTTTTGACAATAAAGGCATTTATTTATTTATTTATTTATTATTTATTATGTCATATACTAACATACCAAATAGCGTTGTTTTATCTGAAAAAATAAAAAAGTTATATGGGCGAGCCACTTTTGAGACGCACCCGGTATAGTATTTTATTATAGTAATCACTGTTTAGCCTTTAAACAAAGTTTATACAAACGGTGCAAGTGGGCATTAGTTTCGGAGATACAGGTTGTAGAAGTTTCATTTTTATTTCGATTTTTTCCAAATAATTTCTGAAGTAACGTCAATATTTGTATGAAAATTGGGGTATGGGAGTTTTTTGACATGAGAAATTTGATTTTGATATCAATATGAGTTCTAGTTGCAGGGGGCGCCACCTACATGTGTTTTGAAGAGTAATAACTTTACGTCCGTACCTGTATAAAACTACTAAGTAAAAAAATATACATTTCCGTGACTTCTTACGTAAAAAAACTCTTTTGGTAAAAATCGCTACGAGCAACCGTTCTCAAGATATTTAGAGGGGAAATAGTCAATACATGTCATTATTGAGGAAAAATAAACACGTTGGGTAGCTAGTTATTTGACTGAAATCATAAATTTGAGAAATTTTTATTTTTTTAAATTAATCATAAATTTTTCTGCGAAAAAATGATGATAAAACAGTTTCTGTTGAACTTTTGGCACAAAAACATTTGAAATTTTTGAATTCAGTCTAATAACTATTTAGTCAACATTATTAAATTTATGTCGATGATGACAGGTATTGATAATTTCGATTCCAAATATCTCGAAAATCATTACTGGTAGCGATTTTTACCAAGAGATCTTTTTCACGTAAAAAACGTCGTAAATGTTTATTTTTTTACTCAGTAGTTTTATACAGGTACGGACGAAAATTTATTACTCTTCAAACCAGTTAAAAAGTATGTAGGTGGCGCCCTCTACAAGTAGGAGTTATATTGACATCAAAATCAAATTTCTCTTGTCAAAAAACTCCCAGATACCAATTTTTATCCAAATATTGACGTTATTTCATAAATTATTTGGAAAAAATCAAAATAAAATTGAAACTTTTACACTCTGTATCTCCAAAACTAAGCATTTTAGGACATACATTCATACGAACTTTTTTACTTATTTTTATCTGCAGAATATGCTGCCAATGTTTCCGGAATATAGTTCGGACCACCCTGTATATTTGATACCAATTAAACTTTTAGTTACGTAATCGAGGGCGCGATTTTTAAATTCATTGTTGCCAACCATGGACATAATTCGGCACCGTGCTGACTAACTGGAATTTAAATTTCCCTCTGGGGATTCAGGTGGTAGCTCTGCTGTAAAAAATGTCAAGTTGCCACATTTATTTATTTATTTCCTGACATTGTCATTCGTTTTGACACTTTAATTTTGTATTACGAGTTTTTGGTTTAAATGAATTGTGTTGTGACACATTAAGCTTAACTTTTTTTACTAGCAGACCTTGCAGTCGAACGTTGTTCTTTTTAGAACCTCTGTTATTGCAAAGTGTACAAGATAACTTAATAGCTGTAAAGCTCATCGCAACTTTATTAGAATATTTTGAACGGGAAAGCGGTAGTAATGGTCCTTTATGTCCTTTAAGTGCTGTTAAGGAGGTGAGTTTTGATGTAAGTAATAATTGTTTATATATTTATAATTAATTTATTTTTGTTTCCTAAAATATTTTGATTGATAATTTTAATCACGTGACTAAAAGTTTATTTGGTATCGCTTATATTTTTTAGTTTTAAAACTCTTTTTGCGATACATATAAATTTTCAACATAATGCAACATCAAATTTAACTTGTTTTAGACACAATTTAACCATAAAACTATTGATTCTATTCTAGTATAAACTAAGCAAGAAATAAATAACAAAGAGAAAGCAATTCTAGAAGGATTTGTTATGACGTGCAAGCTACAACCATGCAAAGGGAAGTTTAGGGGAACATTCCGAAATATGTGGGATTCCCAAAACGCCAACTCATTTCGAGCTTGATCCCTTCAATCCGTCCATTCTCTCTACAGGTGTTTCTTTTAGGGATGTCCATGCATGTTTTCTAGAAAAAATATCGATACGTACATATTATTTTGTTTCAATATTCGATTCATGTATAAATATTGACCATCTCTATATTCTATGTTGCAAAGCTTCTTTGGGTTAATCTCGATAATAACACGCAACAAAACAACCAAAAACATTACATATAACAACCCTAACCCAAACATTAACATGTTAATGTCGACGTTAACCGGATATCGGACTTTAACCGTAACATATAAATATTGTATTTTAATATCTAATTTCGATATATCAGCAAAAAGTATATTTCAATATTTTTTAATATAACTAACTTGGCTAGTTTTTAGTAGGTATATAAAAATGTATGTTATGTTTGTTTACGCCCTGAATTGATCGTCAAGCAATAGTAGTAT